CAGCGCGGCAGCTTGTGCCCTGAGCGCCAGCGGGGACCTTCTGCCGGTGGGGACTCGGGGGGCACCTTGGAAGCTGCTCCTGCCTCAGGTTCTCCCATGCGGCCCTGACAGAAATTTCTGCCTTTAAAATACAGTTATACCCGAGATTTCATCCAACTACATAGTACACAACGATGCTCGTTTCTTTCCCGCTTTGGAAAAGGCAACTAAAACGAATAGATTTGGGGATGCAAGCCATAACAAGTGGTCTAATAATTCCACATTTTGAAGAGCACTATAGTTATTTGTTTGTGTTACTGTACATAATCCGTGTGGGTGTTGAAAATACTAACTTTTTTTGTTGTTCTTTTAAAAACCACTGCTGCTAAGTTACTGTTTGTGCCCTAGGGACCCAAAGAGGACCAGGAGTCCGAGTCAGAACTGACTGTGACTGAGCTGAAGGCACTGCGTAAGCAGCAGCAAGCGAAATTAGAAAAGACAATGTTGGGAGAGGACTCGGATGAGGAAGATGAAAAAGAGGAGAGAAGCGAGAGGACTCAGAACAGTGATATGAGCTGCTCGTGGGGCATGGGTAAGCGATGGTGTATAAATCAGCTGATGCACCTTGGAAGGTCTTTAAGCCAGTTTTCAGCAAATACTAGGGTTGAAATTCCAGCTGGATGCCAAGTGTCCCAATCCAGTGGAAGTTCTTGAGCACAAGTTAATCCTTTTAAAAAGAAAAGTGCTGTGATAAGGAAAGCTTATATCTGGTGAGAGGTATGGTAGAGCTCCTTTTAACAGGGAGGAGGTAATTTGCTTATGCCCCATGAAACTGGGAGTTTAGGTTAACGCTATGTGTCTTGTTCCAGTGATGATGTCCACACTTTTGCCCAAGAGGTGAAATTTAATTGCTTGAGACTTCTGTGCAGTGTAGCTGTCTTTAAACAGGAAATCCACATCTTAAAGCTAGATAAATTGTGATTAATGAGCTTTTCAGTACAGAACGAGTTGGGGTTTGTAAATGTGTGAGCACTTAAACCCTTGAAAGTGCTGAAACTGTGTCAGCGTTCATCTGCAAAACTGTGTCTTATGATGGGATAACTAATAGCAAAAAAGAAGCAGGGCTGGTTTGTTTTATTGGATGCAGGAATAATATTCAAGTTAAGGGAAATACCTTTAGGATGACGTAGCTGCTACTTCTTTCAAACTAATGGAAGCTGAAATACACTGGTGTGCTTTTTCTAACGTTTCGCCATTTTTTTTTTTTGCACTTTGTATGTCTTCTCCTAGGGGAGGATGCTGAGGAGGATGAGGTTGAAGAAAACCCTATTGCTATTGATTTTCAGGATGTACAAGACGCCTTCTATATGAAAGATCCTAGGAAGGCCTTACAGGGCTTTTTTGACAGAGAAGGTACTGGGTTTTTCTTTTTTTTTTTTCCTAATTAAATATAATTTTCTCTATTTAGTAAAGTTTGTGCTCATGTTTTTCTTTGGGAATTAAGGTGTGGGAGCTAAACTTTTCTGTTTCATTGTTGGTAAGGTTTTTTGTTTGGTCAAGTTTGGGGGGAGTTATTGGTGGTTTCGTTTTGTTTTCATTAAAACTTATCTCAGCATCGTATATCTGAGACTTAAGAATTTATTACTAAACTGGGAGTTGTAGAGAGGACCTTGGATTCGTCTTGGGTGGCCGTCAAAGCATACCCGTGCTTTGAAGATATGCTGAAAAATCCAAACCCATCACATTCCAGACTGTGCTGTTTGGTGATGGCTACGATTGTGAGATAGAATTGGAAAGCGTAAAAAGACAAAAGGCAGTAATGGATTGATCTAAACTTTTGATAGTGGCTAACAAAACTTACAGATGACTCACTCACTTGGTAAAGTGAAAAATTAATCTTCAAGATAAACAATATCTGCGAATCCAGATTGCAAACTCATTCCTTCAACATACAGAGGCAAGATTGGTTTTTCTTTGAACTACATATTCCTCAACAGGCTGCTTAGAGACTTTTTTGATCTGAAAAAGCCTTGGTTTTGAAAAACAACCAAATGAGCGTAATAGCAGCTGAAGGTCTGGCTTAAAAAGAATTAAAAAAAAAAAGGCAGGAAATTCAGTCCTTTGATAGGTAACAAGGGCATTTTACCTCTTTTCTTTAACCATGACGTTCTTCTCAGCTGTAAGGATTATTCCTGCTTATTTTGATTTTGGTTACTACACCAACTTTCTTTTCCTCTCTAGGAGAAGAGTTAGAATATGAATACGATGACCGTGGGCACAACAGCTGGCTGTGCAGGATCAAGTACGTATATCTTCGTTCACTTCTGTACATAGAAGCTGACTTCATTGAATTCATGGACAAATGCTGAAGGACTTGCTTGTCTTGTCGCACTTGGCGAGGAGGCCAGCTGGAATTAGACCCTGATACTGAGGCAGAAGTTCAAGGATCAGTGCCTCGTTCAGTGTCTGAGCTCCTTTCTGGTCTGCCAGCATTTGGTTTTCCTTAGAGATGAAAATCGGGAAAGCAAGAGTCTAGGTTCTTTCAGTCCTCCGTGTTTTCAGAAATATGTGAAATTGAAACACAAGAGAAGAAACTAGGAAACAATATCTTCCAATTCCTAATAGGAGGGAGGAAAAAAAAATAATTCATTCCACTGTGTACCCAGTTTCAGTTCTTTTATGGTATAAGGCAGTTTTTGGTGGGTTCCTGCAAGAGGCCACTAACATCATCCTTCTGTAAGACAGGAGAAGGTGAGGTGGAAATTAAGTCAACAGGATAGGTCTCAAACAACACTGCAATGATTGTACTGCTCAAGAAACCTTTGCTTCAGCACGGAAAATATTTGTTACTGGTGTTGCATGGATGCAAGATACAGGTGCTCAAAATGATTTGGGGATTGATGTTTAGCCTTTTAAGTTTTTGTATTCCCAATGGAGTGACTATGGGAAGAATTATTGTTTGGAGTAGTGAAATAAACATTTACTTGCATGCTTTAGGAAAGCCGTGCTTGTGTTTTGATTGGCACTGTATGAAATAAAAAGGGAGCACATTTAACCCACAAAAAGAGACTAGAGTGAGACGGAAAGAACGATGCCAGCGTGATCAATGAAATATCTGAGGAGCATCTGTGAACAGCTGCATCTGAGCTGTTCTCTGGTCCTTCAAACCGAACAGGTTGCCTGTGGATGACGCATCGGGGAAGCAGCTGGTGGCAGAGGTGCTCCATTCAGGGAAGAAGAAGGAAGCCATGATACAGTGCGCACTGGAAGCTTGCAGGCTGCTCGATGCTCGGGGGGTACTGAGGCAAGAAGCAGGTGAATAACTAGTCAAATGCTGTGGTCATTCTAAAAGCCCTAAATTAGGGATTTGAGATTACCGTCTTCGAATTTGTTTGATTGCTCAGTGGCATGCAGATCATTTTGTTTCTTACCTTTCCCAGTATCCCGAAAAAGGAAATCAAAGAACTGGGAAGATGAGGATTTTTATGACAGCGATGATGACACTTTCCTTGATCGAACTGGGGCTGTAGAAAAGAAACGACTGAACAGAATGAAAAAAGCTGGTAAAATAGAAGAAAAACCAGAGACTTATGACTCCCTGGTAAGAAGAATTATTATGACATGCCAGGCTTACTCTCTCATGCATGTGTTATTACTAAGAAGGAAAACCAAAAATATTTCCTGATCTTTCTCTGTTAGTTTAAATGCTGGTGTCGTTGCAGACCTTTAGCTCTCAATGGCCCAAGTTAGAATAAAATAGTGGGTTTTTTTGGTTTGTGGACAATATCTATAAATACCTGAAAATGTTGCTGACTTTATTCTAGTGGAAGCGTACTGCCTTGCTTTGGCCTGTGTGGTATTGCCTGCTTACTTGGTGGATCGCGGCAGTGGGTGAATGAAATACCAGAACAGGATACTTTTAAAGTAGTTTTAAAGCATCAGAAAATAACTGCAAGTTTCCAGGTGCGCAGGGCACGTCTCAAAGAAGGGTCTCATTCCGCTTCAAAGAATAAGCAGCCTGGGCTGACAGGCGTGTGACAACAAAAAGGCCTACAGAGGCAAAAGGGTGTGAGGGAGCAGGATAGAGAGGGCTGGAGGATCGCAGTGGTGGTGTGACGTTGCTGCAGAAGCATCAGACATATTTTTGTGTTTCGGAAAGAAAATTATTTGAACAGCATGTGAAAGAACTGGTAAGTTTTTTAGGAACAGTCTAGACTATAGTTTTTTCAGCCCAGAAACTCCTGGTCAAAGATCGGAAGTAGATAAATGGAGGTAATTTGGTAGTATAGTGGAGTGACTCTTAAAAGAGGATTTTAAGAAGATAAAAAGATCTTTTAAGCGTGTCGTTCTGTCATAGGTCACAAAGCTAAATGAAGCTGAAAATGAGCTTTCTGAGATAACAGAGAAGCTGAAGACTTCAGGGAAAGGTAAGGCATGAAGTTTATTTGATCGCAGTGCATTCCATAAAGAACGATAAAGAGATGAAAATGTTTCTTACTGATTTCTGTCTAAAGTGCCTTTTTTTTTTTTTTAAGTGTCCGCTTTTCACAAAGGGGTAGGAAGATTGGCAGGTCGCTGAGTTAGCTGGAGAGGGTACTTGTGCTCTTCGTCTAATAGTTTAGGTACTCCGTGTGTCTAGTCACTTGCTAACAAATGCAGCTTTTTTCAAAGCAGGTGACATCTAAGTTGAAGTAAGGAGGCGAGTCTACAAGCTCCTGGAGCTTGCGAGGGAGGGTGAGCATTATGACTGTTTATCTGCCCAAATCAGTGAAACTGACCCAGTTTGGGGAACACTTTTTACCCACACCCTCCAAAACCATTTGCTGTCAGGGAAGAGCAAAGAACCGACAGAGAAGACAGTATCTTTTGTCTCGCTTCTCTCATTGTAAACGCCTCTTAAAAAGGAAAGGTGGGAAGAGAGGAATGTGGAGGCAAAGCAGTGGATGCTCAGCCTGTACGCTCCGTGAACTTGCCAGCTTATGAGGGAGCCCTTCAGGTTCTAGGATTATGCCTTTGTGTACGAAGGCAAAGCCTTTCCAAAGCGGCGATTATATCTCGTAGAGAGTTAGCTTGCAAAGCAAACCATACAAACAGCTGCATTTTGCTTTCTGTCACTGGTGATGTCTGGTGGAATAAAAGCAAGGCGCGAAGGAAATCTGTTTAGGCTGGTTCTTTGTATGAAAACCTTTTTAACGGAGTCGGCATTAATGAAGGTTGCAACGTCAGTTTGTCAGAAGAGTTTCTCCCCAAGAAGCCTGGCAGCAGTCTGACAGCTGGGCTGTCTTTTGTGCGTTGTACGGGTCTGCTTCTTCCTAGGAATTCAGCTACGCTGCAAAACTCATTTGTATCAGGGTTTTTGGTGGTGATTGATTATACGAGATCGCTGTTCAGAAAACAATACTGTTCCACGGAGCTTTCTAACTGATGGGCCCATTCCGTGTGTTTGAAGGAATTGCTTTCAGCTTGACTGTTCTGATAAGTAGTTAACGATTGAGTAGCAAGAGAGGCTGATGCTTTATATTGTCTGAGACATGTAATTCCAAGCTTTTCCTACATTATGATGCCTTTGTTTCTGCTGATGCTGTTTCTCAACAAGACTGTTAAATCATATTGTAGTAGAGGCTGGGAGAAGGAAGAATCAGTTCACTTAGACTTCTGCTAACACCATGTAATTGTCATGTATGTTATCATGGTTTGCTGAATTGCAACTGGTTACACAGCTAGTTTAGAGCCTTGGGAAAATTGCAGTCTCAGCACTTATTGCAATAATAATTCATTATTAGATGGGAATTTCCTAGACCTAGGCCAAAATAAAACATGACAGATATTGCATCATCAGTTACTTTTTACGTGTGTGTGTTGTCTAGATGCTTGTGTTTTCTCTTGTTTCTTCGGATGCTTCAGGCTGGTCACAGATGTCGAGTACAAGTGTAAGCCAGGAGCTTGCCTGTTGATCGTGAGTGATTCTTGCCACTCTCATGAGCTGTCTGGCAAAGCTGCTGCATTACATACAGTTCTGAAATTTTAATGTACTTTTGCTTGCTCTAAATGATTATTTGTAGCCTAAGGGCAAGAGTGTAGAGAGACCAATGAGTGAATGACAGGTTAAATTGCAACAGCTCTTACCAAGCACTTGGAGAAATTAAGTGGTTGTCTAAGGAATCGCAGTAGAAGCTCATGGGTTGTTCTCTGGAGTTCTTCAGAACTAATTACTGATGGACTGACTTGGTCTCTCTGATTCACTGATGCAGCTGAATGAAAGTCAAATACATGGAGCTCTTCAGTCTCATCTTTGGTGGCCTGTTCAGAAGAAAATTATCAATAAGTTGATGGTGCAGTAAATAGCCCTGTAGCTTTTTTTCACTGGAATGTAAATGTAATAGTCACGATTTGATTCATTTCCTAGCAACAGCAAATCTTACTTCAGTAGCGTAGGACACTGCTGCGACAGATACCGAGTGCTAACAGTAACCCTGAAAGCTGAACTCCGTGGTGTTACGCACTCTTGGTGGAATCAAGCAGAGAATCCCCTTTGTGAGAAGGGGTGATCTCACTCGCTGAAGCTCACTCACTGGCTGAAACCATTACGCTGTTCTCCAGCTAAAGAATCGAGCTGTGGAATATACCTTTAATTGCTGGGAATTATCTGGCTAGACACTAAATCGTATCTTTGAAATTTGGTGTTTAATTAAATGATTATTCTGCTCAGCTCCTGCCTGCTAGGGATTTCAGACTGTTTGATAACAACACCTTGTCACTGATGGTTTTTGTCTCAGTTCACATAAATAGTTATGAGGAAAAATAAGAGTATTTCTATCTGAATTTCTTTTATGACATGTTTTGTCATTATTTATATTTGCATGGAAATGCATGCTACAACTGTTTCTTATCTTTTGAAGCCTCTTAATTCTGTATATCTTTGAACAGTTACCGATGTGGCTTTCATATATTTGCAAATTGTAAACTGTTCTAGATCAGAAATATCCTTTTCAGTTGAGTCCATTTGTAAACAAGAGCCTTATCAGACCTTTCTCTAAATATTTAAGTTGTGTAAAACTGCTTGAATATGTACTTTTAACAATAACTTAGTATTTTATTTATACACATTTTAAATTTCAGGTGCTACTTCATTAGCTCAAGCTGAACTGAAAATAACTCATTGGTCACATAATTATGTTTGTGCATATATATATATATATATATATATAAAGTGCTTGTGATGTAGCAAATAAATATAGGATTTGGCACTTCTCATATAATATTAAAAGGCAGAAGACTGCCAGTCAAAAGGCTTGTTAAAATTCTAGGAACAACATTTTTCTTTGTTTGCCTCCAAGTTATTTTTGAACAGCATGTAAAAACTTCTGAAGCATCGTTCAAGCCCAGGAAAGGCGTTTTCCTGGGGTTTTTGGTTTGGTTATTTAAAATCCAGGTGTTAGAATTCTGTACTTGTTTTTCTTAGCCATTAGAGCTTTAGTTTTTCCTCCCGAGTTTTATTTTAATTAGCCAAATACACAGAGAATTATTAATATTTGAAACTGGGTGGAGTAGAAAGACTCATTACTCTTTTTCAAGTACAGGGCAGTGTTTTCTTGTTAGAAAATCCAGTCAGAGGTAAATTTTGTGTGATTGGCCTAACATATGAAACTAATCTTGTATGCACTCAGTCATCCGGGGGTAGGAGGCAGCACCGTGCGTTGATTCATTCTGTGCTTTATGAATGTTATTCCATAAACATTCCAGGAAAGCCGAGACAGGATTCCCCGTGCTGTGGTGTGGGATTCTTTGTAGCTGTGCTTACTTCAGGCTGCAACTACAAAAAGAACCTGTAAGCCACCTTTTTAGGGCCAGCAGATCTTGAAGTGAGATGAACAACCTAGAACAGAGACATTTACTCCTAAAGAAACATTCCATTTGAAGGGAGGCTTTGTTGGGTAAGTGGATTAAAGTTTACTGTCAGGCTTTTGTTAGGAGCAATGCTTTCATCTTTCCAGGGCTAACAACCTCCATTATTTCACCATTCAGCAGAACTTTGCAGAGAGGATAGTTTTTCCTAGGGCTTGATGAGTACAGCTCTTATCTCCCCACCTCTAACAAGATCTGTCTTCCCTTTATCTTGCCTAGTCCAGTCCCAGCCAGCAGCTCAAGATTCCTTGGATGAATTCATGACCGAAATAAAATCAGGGTGCGCCTTAGACAGCGTGGCGCGGAAGAAGCTCCACTTGCGGTCGTTTGAACTGAAGAAAGAGCAGCAGAGGCTGAAAGGGTTAATAAAGCTTGTCAAGCCTGCAGAACTGCCTGAGCTGAAGCCCCAGTAAGTCCTGGCTGAAGTGTAAAACAATGACTTTGACCATAGTTGTGCAAGCCCAGTAAAGGGACAGCTTTCCAAACACAACAGCAGGGGCCTTCCAGCCTGCCTGGCTCGGCTCTCTGAGAGCCGCTGAGCCTTTTGGCCCTGGCAGCATCTGTGGTGGAGGCAGATGCACCACAACACTGGAGTGAGATAAGCCCACCCTGGGAGGATGAGAGTTGGGGAGGGATTGGAAGTGTGGTGTCAGCTTTTTGAATTTTTTTGGTTTTTTTTTTTTCCCAATCTGCATCCAAAAGGAACTGGAGGATTTTGCAGGTTATTAGGTACAACATGAAAATCGCTTTCAGGCTGTGAAATGTACCTGGAAGCGCGGTGCAGTGGCTCTTCAACTGCTGCCCAGCAGCGCTGCTGCCGTTCAAGAGGGCATGTGCTGGGTTCATCACTTGTTAGTGGCAGTTTGATTAGAGGTTTAATTACTCACGTAATTCGCTTAAACTGAGGTTCAGCCACCGAGTGTGTTTTTATATGTACAGATACATTATGTACATACGTGTGTGTAATTGAATTTGAGGGAGTCTGGGTGATAGAGATTTATTGTTTTCCCTTATTTATTTATTTTTTGCTTCCTGTTGTGGCAAGTGGCTGAATCCTACAACATATATGTAGGATGGGGGAGTCCTGTCCTGCAGCTTCCTCCTCAGATGCTGCAAGCGAGGGAGAAATAAAAGGATTTTTGTATATCCACTTCAAATTTGCCGAGGGTTTTTTTTGCATTTGTAAATACAAGACTTGTTTCATGCTTTGTACGCTGTTTTCCTTTGTGCCCAATTTTTATTAGGAGTTACAGTCTGGAAGCAGAGAGCAAGCCTAAGAAGATTACCCTGCCTCTCTTTGGTGCAATGAAAGGGGGGAGCAAATTCAAACTGAAAACTGGAAGCCTAGGGGTAAGTTGGACTCCTAAGTGCTGCAAGTCAGAGTTTATTTCTCAGACACCTTCTCGGGCTGTGGAGACTGCGGGGGACAATCGTGTCTTCCCCCACGCCTGGAACCAGTGCGGAGGTGCCCAGGGCAGCAGGCAGGGGCTGTGGGACGTTGTTGGTGGCCAGCAGTTGCCATTCGGTGCCTTTGCACAGCCAGTCTGCTGGGGCACAGCTGCTGTCAGAAGGCAGTGGATGAAGCAGAGGCAGCCTGGGGACATCAGGCCGAGTCACTGCTGTACCTCAGCAGCTGGTCCTTTGCTTTCCTTGGTTTTCTTGATCTTACAGCTAAGGTGATAGCCAAGATTGATTCAGTTTCCAGTGCCCCTCTTAGGAAAACACTGCCCTCCTTGTCTATGGACTGGACATTTTCATCTTCCATCTCTAGTAATAACTTTTCCTTAAGTTATTTCCTTAAAATCTTAACTATTCTTCATCCTGAGAGTGTTTCCTTACCAGCTGCCTCTGACAGTAATATGTGTGCTTTCTCCTGTAATGAATGCCTGTGACATCTGCCTCCATTTATCTTAGCACTGATGCACAAGTCTTTCTCCCGCAGAAGTTGCCTGTTAAGCGTCCAGACATCCCTGAAAGCTTGTTAAAAATGAAGGACGACGGACCAGAGGAGGAGGAAGAGGAAGAAGAGGAAGAAATGGAGGAGGAGCAAGAAGCAGATGCAATAAACAGCAGAGCGTCAAACCTGGAAATGAAAATTACAACAGAACAAGAAAGAGGAAAAGAAACTAATGATCCTGATGGTTCTCCTTGCAGTATCAAGAATCTAGAATCCCTTCAGGATGGTAAATGATTGGTTTTGATTTTTCCAGTAATAAAGCTGAGTCTGTTACTGCGGAGTATTTCAGAGCTATGTGAATCTCCAAAGGTTTGAGTCACAGGTTCTCCAGCAGATTGGTTTTCCATCGAGTTTTGCTACGAGTCCAGAGCCTGTAAGTTTCACAAGGCTTCAGTTGAAACTCTGCTTGGCATTCTTTCATGCTTTTGGTGAAATAGAAGAAATCTCCTGCACTCAGAGGTCCTATTTTGAGAAGCCCTGCTTTCATTAGGTTCAGTGTCCACATGAAAATAACTACAATGTGTTGTTGGCAAGGAGAGCGACTTAGTAAGAAAACAAATGTCTGTGTAAAGCTTCAGATCCGTTTGTAAGGAAGAAAAATAATTTTAAAAGTGGTAATGGAGAGGTATCTTCCTTGTATCTGTGTGGTTTATCTCCAGTCCCTCCTTTTCTGTATCAGCTTCACGCTCGGTAATGATGTTTCTCAGTAGATGATGTGTTTTAATGACAGAAACCTGATTTGAAGTTTTTTGTCTTAATGCTGGATAGGTTGCTCTTGAAAAGTACGTTTTAACTGGTCACAAGTTTTTCTTTAATATTTTATTGCGATGGACTGGGTGGATGAAATAATTTGGAGGATTTGAGGGAGAATTTTTCCTGAGACAAACGTAGCGAAGAGTTCCCTTTTGTACTTTGTCTCAGGGGTGTTAGCGCTCTACCCGTCAGAGTTGCTGCAGAGAGCTCACCTAGGTCTTTCTCTTTTCTTTTACAGGGGTTAATTTTCTGCCTGAGCCAAAGATACTAAGGAATAAATCTCGGGTGGGACCCTCACAAGAGAAATCTCAAGGTGAGCAGTGCAATTTAAGACTCTGTTGTACGGTAGCATGTGGGTTTAGAAACTGTCTAAAGGACTTACTGTCTTCTGTCAGTAGAAGGAAACTGATCTAGAGCCTGAAGAAGTCAAGAACTGAAATGAAGGATTGTGCTTTGCTTGGGAAGTAGGAAGTGTATGGTGAAGGCAGGTCACTTCAACTATATTTCAGTTCTCCTTGCCTTTCATAATCATTAACTGCTTTGAGATCCTTTGGTTTAAAAAAACAGCATGAGAAGAGGAGAAAAATGATTTTAATTTAGGAGCATAGACATAATGCTTTTTTTCCCCCTTACTCTGTAGTAGCTCTTAATGCCACAGAAGGACAGAACTTTCTTTTATAAAGTGACAAATACTACGCAACGTTAGCTAATAATCTGTTAAAGACCCAGACGACCCCTCTACATGTACACACAGAAAAAAATCAGATCCTCAGAATGAAGACTGTTTGGTGTACTGAACGTGGAGGACATCTGTATGAATTTTCTATTTTTTTGTAACTCAGACTCTTAAAAATGTTGTCCTGTCCTCCTCATCTCATCCGTAGACTTAGGCCACGAGAGTCTCCACATTTCACAGATTACGTGGCAGAAAAACAGAGCGTACTTCTCTCTCTTCTGTATTCCTCCCACCGATGTTACTATAAAGGGTTTTTTTTTGTTTAAAAAACAAAGCATGTTGGTTCTGCACATTTCCTACTGTTTCCTTCTAAATCAGTCATGGCAGTGATGACAATTCCTTTTAGAAAATAAACATCTGCCATTCACTAAAGCCAGTTACAGAATCCCAAATAGAGGACCTTCTTAAACTGCATTCAGGTGGGTGACTGGCAGTGCGTTAAACATAAGTTATTAAATCTATGAAAAGCAAAAATGTTCGTCAGTCTTAAGTGTGAATTTTGCCTTGGATTTCCTTTTGGATGTATCCATTTGTATATGAACTTCCTATAAGCTTGTTTCCTGTAAATTGGTCATTTGTGATGCGCCATAAACCAAATCTTCTTTCTTCCCAGCACCCGAGGCAGTGTGTAAGGAACCTGAAGAGGCACCTGAGAAAGTTAAGAAAATCAATAGCTCAAGCAAGGTCAGTTATGACACCATGACTGCTACTGCTGAAGAGTTTCAGGAAGTCATTTAGTAGGGTCTTTTTTTAGTGGAATAGTAACAATTTGATTGAGTATGACTTGGTGATAGCGGTGCTCTTCTGCTGACTAAGACCCAAATATAGAACCACACAGTGCCATTGGACACAGATTTTTGGAGTCTCCGATGAAAAGGTGAAGCACAGCATTTCAAGCATGATAGAGGCTCTTAATTCAATCCCAAATTTATTTTTTTATCTTTTCACTTGGCAGTTAGCCTCTGCTAGTCGCTTCTTCCGTATCCCCAGTGTGGTGGAACACAGTGCTCTCTGGGCTTTAGGAATGGCATTGCACAACGTTCCCTGGAGAGCAGTTTGGGAAGCAGGCATTGGCTGTACTGATGTTGTAGCTGGCCTGTGGTGCCATTACCAAACCTCATCCTTCTCTGTAAGGTGTGGAAAGAGATGAGTCTAAGAGATTATTGTGTTTTGCAATCAAATTATTACAAAATCTGAGTGCATGTACGAGAAAACATTCCTCCTATGCGTAAGACTTGTATTAAAATGTGAAGTATATGAGCCCTGCATGTTTTGAGATGCAGTTGTGGCCTTCCTGGAGCTGGGAAGGAACTTCTCTGACAGCGTGCTCTTAGCCTACGGATGACTGTGAGGCTCTTCCCTTTAGAGTGCACCCCACCCTCCTGCGGGCTGCCGTCAGGGAAGGTCAATGCACTTGACTGGCCCTGGTTTCTGACCATTGTGACAGCTTCTTCGTGGCAGCCATCTAATTTTAGCCCCGCACCAATTACTTAAAGAAACTTAACTCCCTGCAGCCTGGCTGTGCTGACTGCCGCCTTGTTAGTCCTGGCAGAGGACCCAAGGATTGGGTAGGCACAGCCTTTAGCATTGTCCTTTGTTGCTGGCCTGTAAAGCACGTTGATAAAGAAAGAAAGAGTAAATTTATGCTGTTAAAAGCCCCAGTTATACCATTTCTACGGATAGGGGAGAACAAGGCAGCTTCTCACGCTGAGGCAGTCCAGCCAGCACCTCCCATGTGCACAGAGCTCACGCTAACGCTGAGCATTCTCCAAATGCCAGATGGCTTAGCTGTATTCTCTCTTCCATCACAAATCACTTTTTCCACATGCTGTCCCTGCCTTTGGGCTCAGATCTTACGTGGAAAATATCAACCAGAAGTCAGCTTTCCCCTCCCCGCCCCCCTCTAATATTTGAGGAATAACTTTGAATCTTGTAGAACTGGAAAAACAATTTTAAAGTGACTGTTCACAAGCCATATTTGAAAACTGTTCAACTCTGCAGTCTGATGGTTTGGAAAACATTAATCTTCCAAAAGAACTGTTTTAGAGGTTAATTTGGGGAAGGAGAGTTTTTGAGGGAATGAAAAGTTGCTTCAACTGCATAACTTAAGACTTGTCATGGTGCTACAGAGAATTGCAAATCAGTGCTGAGTAACTTGGCTGCGTTTTGAGCTCTTAAGTCTTGCACTCTGCAGTTGTATGACTTTTTTTTTGATGGCTACCTGCAGCCATTGAAAACAAAAGTTGTTGAAAAAATGATGCTGATGTGGCAAAACTTAAAAAAACCCACAAAAAGAGACAAAAAGACATTGCCTTATCAACATTTGAATTGCAAGGTACGTCTTTTGGTTTGCTCTAAGCATTTCAGTGATGCCAGTGAGACCTGGAAAAATTGTGCTTTCTTTTCTTTTGAAAACTGAGTTGTCTTTATGTAACAGCTGAACTTTTGTATGCTCCCGTTTGAAAGTCACCTTAAACTCAAAGTTTTCAGTGAGACCGCACGTTGAAATCAGTAAAGCACCTCTTGAAAATCCTACTCTGAAGCTTTTCCCTGCATAAAGAAATTCTGTGTCGGGTTAAACTGACATGATGAGATTAAACTGTCCGGAAGTGAACAGTTGGCAATGGTTCTGTTGTAAGGGGGAGATTGGACTGGGTGACCTCCCGAGGTCCCACCTAATCAGCATGTCTTTGTTATTCTGTGACTTTAATGGGAATAAACTGGATTTATTTGAGGGTTTTTGTATTTCTTCTTTCCTCTGTATTATTGTTTTCATCCCTGAGTCTGATAGAAAAAAAAAACCCTCACCTTTCAGTATTTGTCTCTGAATTAGCGAGAGATTTTAGTGGCTGTGACACACTGCTGGAGGGGTGCAGCACCTTAAAAACCTTTTCTCCTTTTGCAGGTCCAACAACCTTTTTTTTCCTCACAGTACCCAGATGATGACCCAGACTACTGCGTGTGGATCCCTCCTGCAGGTGTCAACCATTTCCTTACCGTTCTTAGTCTTACAACTCCAGAATCTACCCAATAAGTAGTCAGGGTGTCCCTGTAAGTTCTTGAGTAGAAAGTAGTTCAGGAATGCTTTACCCAGAACCTGATGTTTTCTGGCATGTTATGCCCCATATTTGTGGGACGGCCATGTGAGTCTTGCAGTGAAATACAGACCGTATCTGTGGTAGCTTCATCTCAAGGGCCAGATACACCCCAAGTTTGGTTTTCAGTTTTGTAACACCCGAGAGAGCTGATCCACTCACACGTAGTGATCCGGTGATCTAGTTGAAAGGCAAGCCCAAACCTTCACTAGAGAGAAATGCTGCAGCAATCTTACTAGTCTCAGTTTTCGTACAAGTCTGTGAAATCTGAAAATCTTTGCAGATTTTTGCAAAAAATCACTGGAATACAAACTTTGGGTTATGTGGTTTGGAGAGAAGTCTTGATAACCCTTCGGTGAAGGCACTGAATAATCAATGCACGCCTCCAGTATATGTTAAAGTCGAGCAAATTTTTTAATTTAGTTCCAGAGTGTTTTTAGCTGAGTGAGGTTATTCTTAAACAGTGTAATGAATTTTCAGTTTCTCTAAAATGGAAAAATTCATTTTCATGCGTTGAGGTTTTCATGGTAAGTTCAAAGCTTAACTTTCATTTGGCAGATTCATTACTATCATTTTTATAGGGCTGTTGCAGGCTTGTAATATAGATAGGCTCCAAAGGGAGTAAGAAAAATAAGAATAAATTTCACTGAAGAAAACTATAATCTGGTGAATCATGCTTCAGTGAAAAGACTGTGCTTCTCTGGCATGTGAATCCACGGGAACAAAATGCCCAATTCAGTAACTCGGAGGCCTGATCTGGGATAGCCAAGCGAGCTCTGTCCGTCAGAGGGAGCTCCTTTTTCTGTCTCTGCCTGAGAATAAACAGACTTACCTTCTAAGCTGGCAAAATGAGGACTCCAGAAAACAAAACAAACAAAAGGGCAAAAAACCCACCCAGGAATACATGCTGTAGTCTTGACACTACTGACTTACTGTCTTCTTTGTGCTTGTCTGACTGGTGCTGCCTAGAGAACATTTTGTGCTTGGATGCACATTTTTCTTGGATGAGGGGGGGAAAAAAAAATAATGCAACTCTTCCTCTTTGTCCATTAGATCAAAGTGGTGATGGCAAGACTCATCTCAATGAAAAATACGGGTACTGAGCTTCGAGCATCCGAGAGTGCACCTGAGGTTTGAAGGACTGCTCTATTTTGGACTCTTTCAGCACATGTTAAGTGAGGGATAAAAGAGTTGTTTTTTTCAGACGCTGTTCCGCATTCAAGGGCATCAGCAGCCACTCTGGCTGTTAGCTCTCCCTGTGTGTCCTCTTCCAGATATGTTTTTAAAAGTAAATGCCCACACCTTCTTCTGCCTCTTCTTCCACTTTTAGCCTTGTCCTTTTTATTTGGCTTGAAACCGTAGGCTCCGTTTTCCTTTTGTAAATAAAAGTATACAAAAAGTATTAAAAAAAAAAAAAATAGACCTCTGTAAGCTTGCAGGCTTGATAAATCTTATTCTTGTTGGTTTTATGCAATTAAAATGAGAAACGCTACTGGTTTGTTCTGTGGCTGCTGTTTAAAAATACTGTCGTGGTAAACACAACCTGAAACTTGAGGGTTGGGTTTTTGGTTTTTTTTTTTTCCCTTTCCTATGGAAAAAAAATTGTATTATGAACAGAAAATTGTTTTCGCTTCTCCCTTGTGCAGTTGCTGGGATACTTGGTATGGAGTGGACTGGAAAGGGTGAGCGTAGGATGTTATAAAGGTGTAGCAAAGCCAAAGAACTGAAGAGGCTGGCACTGCTTGTCTTGAATCAGATGGCAACAGAAGAAATGGTGGAAGGATATGCTGGAAAAGCTTATAAAGAAGCCCGTTCTCCTGTCACGACACAAGAGCAAAGCGCCATCTTAATGCGATTTAAGGCATCCTGCTCTTAATTGATCACGAATACAGTTTGAAAGTCTCTTTAATTAGGCCGTGAAATTCTTTGCCATCAAAGGGAGGTAGAGCTACGAATAAAGTAGAGGCACAGAGAGGCATCTTTATAGAGAGGTGACAGTGCTGCAAACGTTTTTTGGGAGGACCTGCTCCTTTTCCCTGTACCCACGGTGCGTCGGTGCAGGAAGCCCCCTCCCACTGCAGCGGTGGCAGCCGCCTCGTAGCGCAAGGGAGAACCCACCTCTCCTCGTGCTGCTCTGTGACGGCTTGTTTCTGAGCCCGTCCTACTCCGAGCACCCTCTGCCTGGCTGCCCCTTTCCTTTGGACTAGGAACTGCTCGAGTATACCAACACAGGCTTTGCTGTCTCGTGGGATATATATATATATATACCTGAAGGAGGATACAGATATTTATAAATATTGGAGTTATTTATTCATGTATCCACTCTGTATATGTATTTATACATGTGCCTATTTAGTGTATATATGCTATATATATTTAAAAAATTACAATTTAAATCTACATCCATGAAAGTGTGAGTATAAATTGGGTAAACACTCCTTAAGAAGAGGTAATGAAATGAACAGTGGAAGTTTAAATGTGAATGGAACTAATTAAACAAAAGCAAAGGGCAGGTTCATGCCCCCCACTTTGCTACAGCTTTGGCCCTGTTTGGGGGGTGGGCAGGGGAGTTAAAGAGGGCAAGGGGGTGTGAGCAAGCTGGAGTGTGCCCCAGGGCTATCAGCCCCTCCAAGGAGGGCACCAAGGGGCTGCCAGGGCCCTGGGGGCACTGCCAGGTCTGCCTGTCCTTGCCCAAACCCCCTGGGATCTTGGAGAAAAATGGGTATTTTTCTGCTTGTTGGACTTGGAAGTCAAGCCCTTAACTGTTAGGCAGTGCTTTCCTCCGAAGTGCAAGTACTGGTAGGATTTGCAGCCTGAAGCCCCCAACTTGGTACCGTGGTCACCGCTCCTCAGCTCACCAAAATGGTCAGCGACTGGGGGAAACCGGTCCCTCGGATGACACAATTGTCCCAGGGCGTGTGTTGTGGTAAAGGCAAGGGTCACGCAGGGCAGCTGAGGGGTTGTGAAGCTCTAGGCACAAGAGAAAGCTGTAGTGTGGCGCTCCAGGATCACACGTCCTTCGGCGTGCTTCCACCGAACAGCGGCCCCATCCTCATGGATAAGTCGCAGGAGGGCACGTCGGAAGCTGGGGAGAAGGGATAACCGTACAGCTCCTCTGGTTCTCACGATGGGAGTGTTGGAGCCATGGAGTTTGCTCCAGTTTTACTCCACGGAGAACATAAAACAGTTTGGCAGCTTGGCATGTTGTAGGGTTTTGCTGAATCTGCTCAAGCTGCGAAACAGCATCTTCTTTTTGCCAGTAATCTTCACCGTATTTAGCGCCTTTTTGTCAGTGTCTGCGCACCAGGCTGGGCAGCCTTCAGCCTCCTGCTGCTGGCAGAGGCCGTGTCTTTACATAATCCAAGAAAAGGCTGTTGCCCCTCCATTCAAAATGCCAGACCTCGTGTTTCACAGGTTCTGTAGCCCTTCTCGAGAGCCTTGTCCAGTTCCAGGCACCTGCAAGGGACTTCTGTCGTTTGCCATTTGTGCTCGTGAGAAGCACAGGGAGGAAAAGCCCACGAGGTAGGTACGCCTTATCCCAAAGTAAGGGGTCAGTGTGTCGAAATTCTCAAAGAAAAGGACTTCTGGGTTCCCAAGAGGGTGTTTTTTTAGGTTTGCTGATGGAAGGATAGAGGCTAGCAAAATCATAGCGAGGTGTCCTTTCACTGGGGGCTGCTTTGTAGTACAGACAAAGGGGATTCGTCCTGCTGCCAAAAAGCCCGTCTGGGCATCAGGGGCTGGGCAGTTTAGTCCTGGCTAAGACCACGAGCTCCCTGTTTCTTTTCATAGTGGCTCCCTTGTGCTTCCTTACAGATCTGATGGTAAAACCTGCTCTCTTTAGGTGGTCCATCTTCTGTTGCGTTGTACAACATGAACACCCAAAGGTGGTCCCCACGGGATGGTTCCAGTCATTTTCATGGCAGTAGTCAATACAACTGTGGAAAAGGCACCCGTTATATTTAAAAGTTGCTGTCGTCCCATCCATGATCACTTAACCATCCCAGAAGTAGGTTCCCACTTGATACTCACAGCCAGGTAACACGTGACAGGTTTGAATATTTGCCTTTTTGGCCAGGTATATATGTCATTGGTCAAATACCTCTTTTTCCTTCAATGGTAGGCATAAACCAGTATGTGGACATGCAAGCAGAGGCCACCATATTCTACAGAAAAGGATCTATATTGTGATAAACCTTTTCATCCCTCTCTTTCTCATCCACTGTGTGACAGGCCATCACCATAACCTTATTTCTGCGTGACCTGTAGGCCTCCCTCAAAATTTTTACATCTCGCTGGCAACAGTAACTTAGTTCCTACGGCAGTCAAAGGCCTTCTGATGGTCTGTGTACATGTCAAGAATTGCTTTCTCTCCCTGAAGCACCATGCTGTGCACCCTGTCATGATCCCGTTGTGGAAGAGGGCCTGCATAGCTTTGATTTTCAGCAGCGTTGGAAAAACAGAGGAAATAACTTCTGCAGCCCGTGATACCCAGCAGTTAAGGAAGACTGCTGGGTTTCATGGGTAAAAGATGTAGAGGGTCTATGAAAACCAAATGCACATCAGTTTAGCACCCTGGGTGATTAATTACACACCCATTTTTTCTTTCAGAAGCTGGCTGACAACTGAGCAGCCATCGTCGCCTTTGGCGTCAGAGGAGCGTAGCCCTGAAAGCAGCTGACTGACGTCCGCGTGTCCCCTTAAGCTCCCATTCTGCTTCGGTTTTCCTCTCCACTCCTCCTTCATCCCATGGGGCATCTGGCGCTAACTCCATGGCAAAAATGTAAACCGGGATGTGTGCCCAGTTTCCTGCTCCATGTGTCCCTTCTCGTGGAGAAGAGAGCCCTGCCCCGCTGCTGGGGATTTGGTCACTGGGCACGGAGCACTGCTGCTGGCTTCCATTACAGGTCTGTTCATGGCACGGACTGCGCTTCCAGCCTCCATGTTTGAGGTGCTTTTCTGCATAGGTCTTGCACTTTTTCGTGTGAAATCAGAGCCAAACAATCTGGGCTCCCCAGACCAGCGCAGCAGTCTGCAGCTGGGGCACCTTCTTCCCGTGGCGGTGTTAAGTGCACAGTCACAGAGCAAGCAGAGCCGGCGATAATATTTACGGATGTGGGTGTGATTATAGCGTGGGTGGCAAAGCTCACCAAGGTTTCGTGCCCCAAATACCTTTCCTGACCTCCCTAACAGGGCTTTAAGCCTGGTCTAGTGGGACATGTCCCTGCCTATGGCAGGGGGGTTGGAACTAGATGGTCTTTAATGTCCCTCCCAACCCAAACCATCCTATGATTCTGTGATAATGATGTTCACCGTGTCAGAGGAGGAAAGGCTCCTTGGGATATCTAGGACTGTTCCTTGGCTTAAGAATCCCCCAGCATTTTTTTTCCACTCAGAAAGACGATGAGTGTATTAACCCACAGCAGCTCCTTGAATAAGGGGATCCTACTCAGCACGACCTTCCTGTGCACAGACCACTCTGGTTTTTCGTGGAGCTCTTTTGCTCTGCTCAACAGTTCTGCATCAGTCAGACCCCCTCACTGCTGGAAGCGCTGTGAGACTTCCAGCCAAACAGAGAAAACCATCACTGGTGGGTTTTAGCTCAATCATACAGCACCACTTTTTGTCCGTAACGTTAGAACAGGGATAAGCTGCAGGGTCCTGCATAACACAGCTTTTACCATAAGAGTGGCCAGGCGGAAAGTCTGATCACATCTCAGCTCTCTCTGACTTCATATCGAGTGTACTGACCCAGTCTGAAACTTTTTTCCGAATTTGTAGTGCTTAAATTAACAGTGGGAGACTCCAGTTGAAGCTGTGCATGCAGGCAGCTTCGAGACAGAGCTGAGCAAAATCACCAGGGTCAAACATCTGGCAGAAGTCATCAGAAACTTGCTCTACACCCCAAACTTTGTGAGCTTCATGCAGCAATACCTCACCCGAATCAACAAACTTGGGCTTTTCTGCATACTGCCTAGCCCTGGACCTCTGGAATGGCCATTCCCACTGCTGCCTGTGCTCTGTGGAAGCCACAGGTTGGGCTGACGTCCCCTCCACCACCCCACCCTTATGTTTGAGGGTAGGGGTAAAGACAGACTTTGAAATACACACCCTGGGGATTTGGGAGGGCAGCTGCTTCCACCATAAGTGGTCCAACAGGACAATCT